TTTTTCAAAAAATTCACCAACCCAGATTTGGGCCACCGTCGACCACTATGGGTTCCACCTAAAAAATCAAAATCCCACTAGAAAATTCAACAAAACCCAAAAGTTTCTTATTTAATAAAAAATTTCAAAAATTTAACATAATTCCAAAAATTCCAAAAAAGTCTAGAAAAGGCCAAAACTCCAAAAATTTTCCAGAAATCACAAATTCTCACAAACTTCAAAAATCAATTCCTAAGAAAATAAATCAAGTTTCCAAAAACCAAAACCAAAAACCCAAACCCATCCACTAAACCAAATTTTAGAAATCCAAAAAATGAAAAATTCTAACACCATCTAGAATTGAACTGCAACCCAAAACCCAAACTAAAAAACCCAAAAAAAGTTCAAAACTTATAATTAAATTTACCTAAAAACTCAGAAATCAAAAACCTAAAGAAAATCCAAAAAAATCTTTAATCTTTCAATTGCTAATTGCCTTTTATGATCTCTGTATAGTTGATTTTCTGCCCCTGATTTCTTTATCATCCCCTTGTAATATTTGTTTATCTTTTTTTTAATAGGGTTTTAATCCCCTTAATTTGGAAAAAAAATCAACTAAATGAATGCGATTTGATTTCTAGGATTTTTCCCTTTTTATGACAATCAGAATCAAAGCTAATCCCTTAATCTGTCACTGACTTATAAAATCCCATGATTTGTTTCCTTTTTGCCCTTGATTTTGATTCTTGGATTAATTCCAAAATTTTCTAGATTTCAACAAATTTTTTTAAATAAAATAAGATATATTTGGACTTAAAGCCATCAATTCAAACCCCAATAAACAAAACCAAATTTGAAGATCTAATAATCTGACTCCAAAACAAAATTATCAAAATAACTGAATGAAATAAAGTATCTACAGCTATTCCTAAAATAGAAATGATGTAAAGACATAAATAATTATTGTGTTCGATTCACTCAAAATTTTTTTAAAAGAATCCTCTAAATAGAGACGCGACTTTCAAAAAATTAAAAAAAACTTTTTTAAATAGAGACATAAAGCTTAAAAACTTCAAATAACTCTTTTAAACATAAGCTTAACAAAATACTAACATTAAGAAAATGGGAATTTGATGGCATTTTTTTAGCAATGTTTCCTAACAAATATCATTATTTAATGTGTTAGTATAAACTTATGGCATTTGTGTAATAAAATCCCACAAAATATTATTCAATTTATTATTTTGAAAATATAATTTCATAAAATTTATCTTAAACTTTTTTGTTGTTTAACTGGCATTTTATTGAAAACGCCACAAACATGATAGCGTTTTGTTTGAAAATGCTGCAAATAGTATATATTTAGCGGCGTTTTGCTTAAACAAACACTGCTAAATGTCATTAGCATTTATTATTGTTAACGGCCAACCAACTTTTCCCTAATTTAAATATGATGCACGCCTATTTCCCCGTTCCCTTCTTCCCTAAATTCTTCCTTTACTCTCTTATTTGCTTTCTCCTTTCTCCTTCGCTCTCTGTCTCCTTCTTTCTTATAAAATCAGTGAAGTGAGTGGTCTCTGTTTTCCCTTTTTTTATTTTCAATTTACATGCTGCTTAACACATTATTGGGTTGATAATTTGTTAAGAATTTAGTTATACTCGTCGCTAAAAATCTTACTAGAAAATGGAATTAAAAGCCTCCGCTTTGTACTGAAGAGATGGCAAAGACTAGGTCATTGGACGCCAGTCAACATGCTTTAGTATTCTAGGGGATGCCTTAGGTGGTTCAGTGAGTTTTGTTGGTATAGTGTAGGATCTGAAAAAGGACCTGGACATGTCGTATTGGATTAGACGGTAGATGTTGATGGTGGTGTTGCACAGTTCGATGTAGGGTACTAAAATGAAGAGTAGAACGACCACTGAGTACATCGATTCTAGCATTTGGCAGTGGGCACCGGATTTGTTTAAGGCTGCCATCGCATAGAAGTTGTGGAATAACTAGATTTACTGTTTGGAGAGTGTGGAAGGATAAATTTTGAGGGTTTTATTTATTTATTTTGGGGTTGGATTTTAGTGGGTTAAGATTTTTGTTAAACTTAAAACTTAAAACTGAACCTATTGCTGAACAAAAATGCTTTACCTGAAGCGAGCCACAAAGTAGCTGATGCTACAACAAGACACCTACGAAGCAAATAGAAGATACGTGCAAAAATAAAAAAAAATAAAAAAAAGAAAATGAAAGAGTGAAAAATTAAGAGAAATTTGTAAGTTTTGATCGTGGCTAGAGATGGAGAATAGATGAGAGAGATCATAGTTTTTCAATAGAATTTGGGATAATAAAAGTGATGAAAATTATCTTTTACTGAAAAAAAAAAAAAGAAAAGATAACTTTTGCATGATATGATATAATTTCTTTTGTTGACTCAAAAATAAATTTCGTTGATCAAGCCATTAATATTTTTCTAAATACTAAACTATGCGAAAAATGACTTTTAGAATCGATTTTTCTAATTACCAAACGGAGCGTTATTTCGTTTTTCTACTTTAGTGACTTTACCAAATTTGATTAGAAATTGACTTGAGGTCAACTACAATTTATTAATTCATTTAGGTCTTCGACAAATGGGCAAGAGGCAGGTGGATGTATGCAAATGAGACGGAAAGACCATCAACATTCCATCAACCCCAACGTTGGAATTGGAGCACGTTGATATTTATGAGTGTGGAAATTTATGTACCTACCAAACTTGTTGAACTTATTCAAAGATGATGAGATCAATGTGAAGGAAAAATCTGGCTTAAAAAATATATTTGATTATAAAATATTTCAAATAAATTTAATTTTAAATATTAAAATATTTTTTTAATATTTCAATAACAAATTTTAATAAATATGAATTTAAATTAGCTTACGTGAGTTGACCGAGAGTCTGGCAGATATTAATCGAACCCAAACTCATAGACAACTAAGTTACATGACTAGAGAAACGACTTACCCTGAAAATTACTAGCAGTAGTCCTGGTACATATATTTCTCAAACTAGTTTATTTAATTAGATTTTAGTTTTACATACAATCATCGTAACCAATAATAAATGATGATGTTTTGAATTGTACCCGGTTACAAAAACCATTCAGCATAAATCACTATAAATCCCTATGATATTTTCTTTTTTAATGAAAAACTCATTATTGAAAAACAAAGAGTAAACCCTCTCCGTAATCCTATTTCTATCCGAAGAGTAGTGAAAACAGAAATGGGGAAATAGCAATAAAATTAATATAAATTTTCACAAAAATAATCTAATCTTTGAAAAGTTAAATAAAATAAAAGTACCTTCAGTTAAAATAATTATTTTTTATCTTCTCTTAGAGAAATAATTAAATAAAACCCTCCGTTATGAAAGTTTGCAGAAAAAAATTCGTTGTATTTGTTTATAATTATATATAATATTTTATTATAATATATATTTGATAAGATTTATCACGTAAATCTTTATGCATATAGTCTTTTTGGATGACACATAAAATAACACTAAATAATCATATTATATATTATCAAATTAATCAAATATAAAAAATTTTTAAATTAAATCATTAAATCATAATAAATATTCAAAATGTTCAAATATCGATTTGAAAACGAATAAAAAGATATATGATTATTTATTTTATTATTTAAATTCATTTAAAATATTTAAATTTGTTTAAATTGATAAGAGTATATATGAATTATCATTTAAAAATTTTGATTTAAAAACTTTAAAAAATTCATCTTAATCTATTTTTTAAATTTTTAGTTAAATAAATGGATAAAAACATATATTTAAATAATGAATAAAAATATATTCAATTATTTATATTATAAAATACTTAATATAAAATTAAAAACATAGTAATTTTTTGCTATTCTAAATAGTAAGAACACAACTCTTTCTTCTTCCTTTTTTAATATTTCTCCCTCCAAAAACCACACCAGGTTTTTAACATCGTAAAAGCTTTGTCTTTGCATTTCCATGTTAGTGGTGTTATTAGCTGATGGAGGCAGGTCACAACTTTTCTATGATTGGACTGTTTCTTACTCTGAACGAGCCCCTCTTGGCGTCGACATATTATATCTTAAATCAGATTTATTAATAATTATATGTATATATATTATAAGATATGTTGCCAGAAAATTTAATTGGATATAGCGAATTAGGTGTATGTCATGAAAGTTTTTCTCTGTCATTGACAACAACATTCCACCAGAAGTCCATTAGAGGTGGCTACAAGATATCTTTAATTACTATGGACAAGTTGTTGATGTCTTCATTCCACAAAAAAAGAAGCTCTCAGGGGAGAAAGTTTGGTTTCCTTTGATGTGCAGTGTATGGAAGTGCTAAAAGGAAAGTGGATAGTTTAAATGGTACTTGGCTCTTAGACCATTAAATTGGTGTTAACATTTCAAGATTTAAAGGGAGATCAGAGTACCGAAGAGAGGTGCATCGGGAATCTATTCAGGTTCAAAGAGAAAGGAATCTAAATGCAAGTAAGGTGTTATAATTTATAAATCCATGAATTTATCGTTGATATAAATTTAAAAAATCATATATTTTTTAATTTTTCAGATATAAACTCCTATATACTTTTTCCTTTTCCGGATCTTAATTAATGTTATCCAAGACAACTTCTTACAAACTAATTATATCCTTTGATAACTTTTAATCGAAGAATCAATCATAAGATAAAAGGAGTTTCTTTAAATTATTATATATGTTTCTCTAATAAAGCCCTTAAATTATAATTTTTGTCTAATTAAACCACTAATTGCTAACGAATTTTAGTAGTTTTCATGAAATATAAGAACTTAATTAAAAATAATATTTTAAGAGTTCATTTTGGTACAATAAAAAAATAATAACTTATTTGAGAAATTTCAAAACTATTAAAGCCTTTTTAATATTTTAACTAGTTTATTTTCAGGTAGATGAAATTCAATAAGACAACAGAGAGTGGAGACAACAGAGGCAATAAGATTCACATGGAAACATATTTAGAAAAATTATTTAAGAAATTATCTGATATATTAATAGTAAAATTTTTTAGATTTCTTGAATGAAATTAGCAGGATAGCACATAATCTTTAGGTATGTTAAAAATAATGTAAAATTTTATTAAAAAAAATGAAATATGTGTCAATTTTTCAATTCCATTTGTGAAGTTAAAAAACTCTACTTACAATGTATCATATAATAACTCTTATATTTAATTTACTAAAATAAAAGATATCTTCAAGGCAAGTATTATTAACAACAAATTTATGTTAACAAACTAATATGGGCATGCGCCACTCATCATGCCAAATTAAAACACATCCAACAAAGCAAATGATCTATCCACACAAAGGGCAACCAGAAAGAAGCTTGAGCCAATGAGACAAGTGATAATAGCAAGCCCCAAGGAAGGTTCTAACACCGCAAATGCGCCTGTAATGAAAGCTATCACCATTGCTCCAACTGCAATGATAGTGCATCTATAGGCGTAGGGATATGAAGCAAATGACTTTTGAGATCGAGGCCGTGCCATAAGAAAGTGGAAGAGGACAGCTAAAAGAGAGGAAACCACGGCTATGGCATTGGAGATAACAAACATATTAAAAGCTGCATTACGAATTAGGATAGCAGTGCCCTCATCTACGCCTTTTTCAGTTTTGTAGCCGCCGGGTATGGTGAATGCTGCAGCAAAGGTTACTGTTGCTATTAGCGCCGCCACTACTAAATGTGACTCTGTTGCTTTCTCGAAACCAAACGGAGCCCTCCTATGCAGTCGTATGGGACGAAACGGTACCCCTGCCACCTCTCCACTACCAAGCTCTGCCAACAAATTCAAAATTTGTTCCTGCAAGCAAGCTTCATTATTATTTCAAGGAAAGCAAATATTAGATAGACAAGAAATTTGATCTATGTAACCAGATGATTCAATCTATCCATATTGTTTTTATTTAATTTTTTTTAATAAAAAAATTTACAAATTTTACATAAATAACTTCGTCCAGATCTTTCCTTAAAAAAAAAAAAAAGTTTTGTTGTCACATTGATTGCATAAAAATCAATGTTATACATGTATCAGAAACTGAATAATAATGTTATTGATAATGTTATATTTTAATGTTAAATAAAATCTTCAAATGTAATTAAGCCATACTAAGGTAAATGTCCACAATGCAATTAGTAGGATGGACAGAGGACTTACCTCCTCTTTCATAGTAAGATTTTCCTTGCCCAAGTTCCAGTTTTATCATTTTGTAACACCATCAATAGCCAGTTCCATACCGATTAGGGCGAGAAAGTTACGAGCAGTTGGGAGAGGCGATGTTGCCATGTTCATCCTTCTGACTTACAAGATTTTCCATTGATCCATATCTGATTACCAATATCATCTCCAAAGAATCGACGGCAGTGGAAGACCATATAGAGTAACCGCAGCAAAGTGCAGAAAATTCCAGCCTCTTTTGTCACTAGTTCACAACAATCTGGACAATGGCGGATAATCTCTTTCATTATTGATGCACGGCTTTGCCTTGCGGCCACGTGAAGAGCGGTCATCTTTCCCTCGAAGTCGGCTATGTAGGCAGTAGATTTGTCGCATTCTAATATTTGTTTCACAATTGAACGATAACCTAAATGTGCAGCAAAGTGAAGTGGACTCCGACCATTGTCGTCCTTGTTTTCGCTTGCCAAAATCTTTTTTCATCTTTAGTATTATCCTTACCGTCTCTAAAACCCGGAATAAAAAAACGAAAAGGAAACTGTATTAGTGAACAATTTTCAAGGTCAATAACACAAATGAAGAAGAAATTCTTGTGTACAATATCCCCAAGGCCACTATATAGTTTGATTTGCTTAATTAATTATGGTAAGTCTCTTAATTCTATGCAAAGAAGTTTGAGTTGGCAGAAACTATTGAAGCTTAGACCAATTGTCTTTTCCTTTATTCAACATCATAATGGGAGAGAAGTTTGGTTGAATTTTGCTGTACAGCCAGATGTGTTGGGATTTGTCGTGAATCTCAGAATCCCACATCGAAAGTTAAGTGAGTTTGAGTCTGTCTTGTATCCCACATCGAAAGTTAAGTGAAGGTATAAAGGGTTTCACCCTTATAAATAAGGTGTTTTGATTTTAGTTTAGTAATCCCAGAGAGTTAGGCACCAAGAGAATAGCTAAGTGAGTAGGCTATTAAAGGGTGTAATTGGGTTTGGGGTTAAGTTTTTAATAAGGATTTTTAGGAGACTTTTCTCATTCTACAAGTCTCACAATTGTAAAGATTTATTTGATAGTGGATTAGGGTTGGAGTAGTTTTGAGTTGGGCCGAACCAAATATATTTGTGTGTTTTATTCTTGATTTGAGCTTTTTATTTTGTGTGTGGTTGCTGCGCGTGGGTGTTGTTTTTTCCAACAAGTGGTATCAGAGCGAGGTTCGAGGTTTAAGGTTCGTGGGCCCAAGAGATCGTGAAGCAGTGTTTGAAGATGTCTAAAGAAGGTATGTCTGGTATGTCTATGCCTAAGTTTGAGATTTCGTTATTTAATGGAAAGAGTAATTTTATGTTATGGCAAAGTACGATTCAAGATCTGTTAGTACAACAAGGGTTAGATCAAGCATTAGAGAGTAGTAAGCCTGAGGGAATGTTTGATGCTAATTGGAATAGGATTCAGAAGAAGGCTGTTAGTACTATTAGATTGGCATTAGCTTTAGAAGTAAAGTACAGTGTGTTGACTGAGAGTACTCCAAAAAGTTTATGGGATAAGCTTGAAGGTATTTATGCTTCAAAGTCGTTGACTAATAGATTATATTTGAAGATGGATCTGTATTCTCTGAAGATGGATCTGTTTTTTCTGAAGATGAAAGAAGGTATGAGTCTTCATACTCACCTGAATGAGTTTAATAGAATGGTTTCTCAATTGCTAGCGATTTTTGTTGATGAGTTAAAAGATGAAAAGAAGGCTTTAATTTTGCTGTCATCTTTGCCCAAGTCTTATAGGCCTTTAGTTCAAACTGTGTTGGTAGGCAGGTCTACTTTGAAGTTGGATGATGTGATTGCCCTGTTGCATGAGAATGAAAGGTTTATGGGAGCTCAAAACTCATCACCTGGGGAGAGTACACTAGCTGTAGAGGATTTTAATCGAGGGAAGACTCAAAAAAATATTTGATGGATCGAGATGGAGATCCAAGTCAAGAGACAGAGATTACAATGATGTAGAATGTTATTATTGTGGTGAGAAGGGACATATCCAAGTGCGCTGTAGGAAGCTGAGAAGGGATATGACTGCTTTTAAAAGGGCGAATGATGAGAAGAAATCAGATGAAAAAAAGAGTGATACTACTGCTACCATGTCTGATGATGATGATGTTGTTTTGACAACTTGTGTTGATGAGACTCAGACTTTGAAAAGTGATAAAGATTGAGTTTTAGATTCAGCTGCTATAGTTCATATTTGCAATGATAGGAGTTACTTTGTGGAGTTGAATGAGAATGAAAAGTATGGAGATATTGTGGTTGCTAACAAAGAAAAGGTGCAGATTCAAGGCATTGGGAATGTTCACCTTAGATCTCACGATGGTGTTATTAGGATGCTTCGTCATGTAAGGTATGTACCAAGTTGTCACTACAATTTGATTGCTTTGGGTGAGTTAGCTTCTCGGGGGTACACATATTATGGTAGTAATGATTGGTTAAAAGTATGCAAGAATGGTAGTGTGATTCTACAAGGGAATAGGGTCAATAATCATTTGTACATGTTTGATGGAAGCTCAGTTGCTGAGATGCCTGTGATGAAAGAAAAGAAGAAAGGTAAGCATGTTAGCTTTGCAGATACTGTTGAAGTGTTTGGAGATTCAAGTCAAGGGAAGATTTGTTGGGATTTGCCTTGAATCTCAAAATCCCACATCAAAAGTTAAGTGAGTTTGAGTTTGTCTTGTATCCAACATCGGGAGTTTAGTAAAGGTATAAAGAGTTCACCCTTATAAATAAGATGTTTTGATTTTAGTTTAATAATCCTAGAGAGTTAGACACCAAAAGAATAGCTAAGTGAGTAGGCTATTAAAGGGTGTAATTGGGTTTGGGGTTAAGTTTTGAGTAAAGAGTTTTAGGAGACTTTTCTCATTCTACAAGTCTCATAATTGTAAAGATTTATTTGATAGTGGATTAGGTTTGGAGTAGGCCATTTTGAGTTGGACCGAACCAAATATATTTGTGTGTTTTATTCTTGATTTGAGCTTGTTATTTTGTGTATGTTTGCTACACGTGGGTGTTGTTTTTCCCAACAAGATGCTAGTGTTAGGAATATAGACTCAAATCTTATAAGAGATTTGTTTGAGATTTATTAAAGATTTATTTGAGATTTGTCAGATATTGCTTGATGGACAAAAAGCTTACAAAAGAATAATTCTAAGATAAAGAGGATTCTTAATAAGTAAGTTTGACTTGCAAAAGAAAATTTTTAAAAGGAAAGAGATTCTTAATAGGAAAGTTTGACTTACAGGAGAAGAATTCTAAGAGGAAAGGGATTCTTAATGGGCAAGTTTGTATGGTTATAAATAGGTGAAGTCTCTACAAGGTTAGGTATGAGAAAAATATGTAAGAGAGTTGTAGGGTTTTGTGAGATAGATACCCTATAAGAGTATTGGAGCTTTACGTCTTATGGGTGTGTATGTTTGTTTGAGAATGGACTAGAAGAGACTGAAAAGATCCACATAAGTATGATGTATGGGAGCATATGGGTATGTGTTTGGTTATGTTGAAAGCGTGCACAAGAGTTTAGATTTTTGTTTGTTTGAGTTGAGAATATTTCATAGGACTAAAGAAGATTGAGAGTGCTTATGAGTATTAATTGTTAAGTGAGATTGATGATTTGATGTATGTTTGTAATTTTTTACAACTAGTGGATCTTATTTTTCATCCATGAACGTAGGTTGATTGGATCGAACCACATTAAATTATTGTCTCTTGTGTGCTTGATTTATTATTTGATTTCACTTCCGCTGATGTGATTAAATTAGAGACTTTTAGCCCAACAAATGGTATCAAAGCTGTGGTGTTCCTCAACAAGTAGTATCAAAGCTAAAAGTTTGAAATGTGAGAAGAGTCAAATGTTCGAGATATGAAAAGAGCTGATGATTCGAGACATGGGAAGAGTTAACAGTTCGAGATATAGGAAGAGCTTTGTTTGAGACATGGGAAGAAGTAAGCTTAGAGGAGCTCGATTCAAGAGAAGAGTTTAAGTTCAAGTTTTGAGGATTAAAGATCAATTTGTATGAAGTGTTAAGACACATAAGAGAATATGATTGTGAGACTTTTATTGCAGGTGGAGCCAAGCATATCTAGCATGAAGACAGATGATTGATTAAATTTGAGTCAAGGTAGAGATTGTTGGGAATATTGACTCAAATTAAATAAGAGATTTATTTGTGATTTGTTTGAGATTTATCAGATATTGCTTGATGGACAAGAAGACTTACAAAAGAAGAATTCTAAGATAAAGAAGATTCTTAATAGGTAAGTTTGACTTGCAAAAAAAAAATTCTAAAAGGAAAAGAATTCTTAATAGGCAAGTTTGACTTATAGGATAAGAATTCTAAGAGGAGAAAGATTCTTAACAGGCAAGTTTGTATGGTTATAAATAGGTGCAATCTTTACAGGATTAGGTATGAGAAAAAGATATAAGAGAGTTGTAGGGTTTTGTGAGATAGACACCCTATAGGAGTATTGGGGCTCTACGTCTTATGGGTATGTATATTTGTTTGTGAGTGGACTAGAGGAGATTGAGAGGGTCCACATAGGTATGATGTATGGGAGTATATGGGTATAGTTTGATTATGTTGAAAGAGTGCACAAGGGTTTA